GCCCGCACATCAGCCCCGCCGTCAGAATATGGCTGGGCCTTGCAGGCCCCGGAGCAAGGGCTTCTCTGCTTCCGGGGCTTCTTGGGCCTGCTTTGGGAGCCCTTGGTCAAACAGCCCTTCCTGCCTGCCCCTAGTTAATCAGGACGTTGGCACTTTCCCAGAGCAGCGAGGACTGACCTAACAGATTCACAGGCACGGGCGGAGCCCTTGTTAGCTGCCAAGCCCTGGATTTTCTAACCCATTTTACTAGATGTACTTTCTTTTCTTTTCTTTTCTTTTTTTTCTTTTAACATTTATTTATTTTTGAGAGACAGAGTATGAGCAGGGGAGGGGCAGAGAGAGAGGGAGACACAGAATCAGAAGCAGGCTCCAGGCTCCGAGCGGTCAGCCCAGAGCCCGACGCGGGGCTCGAACTCACGGACCGCGAGATCGTGACCTGGCTGAAGTCGGACGCTTAACCGACTGCGCCACCCAGGCGCCCCAACTAGACGTAGTTCCTACGAAAGGTTCCGATCTTAGCGTATCTGGCTTGGTGAGTTCGGATAAGGTTATACACACCCACGTGAACATAAAAAAACCTTTCCATGTAAGCATCGCTCCGTATCGCTTCCCTGTGTCCCGTGCCAAGCCGCGCCCCCATCCGTCTCCCAGAAGCAACAGCCACCGATGTGCCTTTTTGTCGGCACAGGTGGTGTTGTCTATATCGGAGCTTCCTGGGAGTGTTTGGATGGAGCCCCTACAGTTCGGGGCTCCTTTCCCTGTTCCCTCAGCCAAGGTTTACCAGGCATCTGCTCTGTCCTGAGCCCTGTGCTGGCAGCTGGGGGCCTATTAGCGTGGACGGGCCCATTAAGTCTCTTCTTCCACCGACCTTAGGCCTCACGGGGCGGGCAGATCTTATCAGAGCATCCTGCTCTTGGCCCCGTAGTTCTGTGTGGAGACCTGGGCTCTGAAGGAAAGGACCGCCATTCTGGGAGCCTCTGTAAGAGTCAGACTTGACCTAGGCCCGGTGTCAGTGAGGCAGGCCACCACCGCACACGTGGCCCCAGGCTGCAGGATGAATGGGGCCACCTGGAGTGGTACGGGGGCGTTCCTCTGAGAGAAAAGAAGTCCTCCCAGTGGAGGTGAAGGACAGGGACAAGCACGCTACGGTGATCAGCATGTGCAAAGGCCTGGTGGTTAAGGGAACATAGCCCATCCACAAAACAGAGAAGCTAGTGTGCTGGGGTGCGGGGCCTGAGGGGGGCCGGGTGAGGTGAGGGGGGGCCGGGGACTGACGGGGACAGCT